GCCCTGGCGGGTGGGGGTTTGGCTTTTCTTACGTTAAATAGTGCCCAGCCACTTTGTTTTGGAGGCCTATTAAGTTGTGGTTTGACAGATTCTTAAGACAACAGCCTCTTAAGAATTTGAAATGTGTTAACACATCTAATACAAGAATCTTCTGCTTAGAATGGGCAACTTTCTGGGCTCCTCCATGGCTGTGATCTGCACGTCTCCGCTCCTTTTTCCATCTCCCTTCTTTCCCCCTTGCCAACATGGCATGGCTTCATTAGTGCTAGAATAGATCATTCCTGTTGGCCTCCTGTTCATCACCTTTGTGTGTTTTGCTCCTAGCTGCAGGTAACCTTTGTTAGATGGCTTCTGTTTGTGGCCTAGGAGTATTTTTAGCTGTAGGCTTTGCTTGTTTCAGACTGTGGCACACTGATCCATTGTTAGAGTGTGGCTTTCATCTCCTCTATGGGAGGGACCAGTTATAACTGATAGTTGCTTCTTTGCCTTTTCAAACATCACTCCTTTCCTTGTATCTTTTTTCCTTCTGGCAAACACTTCCCTCTTTCGGAGCTCAAGCCAGCATAGCTCTGCAAAGCTCTCTCCAAGCTTCTAACAAGGTAAGCAATGGAGAATCAAATGAGGATTTTAAGTGTTCCTTTATGCAGCACCCTGTGAACAAAATAACGGTAGGCTTACTGTCAATTGCAGATATTTTAGTGTGGGCAATGATTTTCTCACTGCGTTTAAGTTCTGCTAAATCCATGTTATTGAGTATGACTTTGTGTTTCATACCAAACCTACCAACAGTATAGATATTAAGATGAATTAATGAAACAACTCGAGCCCCTGCATACTGAGTTTTTATGTCAAAACTAAGCCAGTGAAGTTCTGAGGAACTCCATCTTCAGTAATCAGTTTTAGTTACATTTAAGATGTGCATAAATTATTTAAGTTACTGGGGAAAGTTGTTTGATGAGAACCAACATTCTAGTGCTTTGTGCTGGTATTTCACTGGTATAATTGATAAATTAAACTGGTTTCTGGATCTTTTTTATCCACTAGGTCTTTACGCCCTTGTAGTTCCCTCTGTGATTTCCTTCATGTGTCCTTATATGAACTCACTGACTGCTGTGAACTGACTTGGATCTAAAGATAAATATGTCGGTGATCTTGATAAAACAAACTCTGCACCATCTCTAAACTAAACTCTATATTTGTAAACAGAATTCTGCACAGATGACTTGTCTATAAATTAGACCACTATTGGCAAAGTGCAGATCAAAGATAAAACTGACCTTTCAATGGCAAAATATAAACTCTGTTGGAGTTGCCTCTGGACTTCAACAAACAGGCTTTTTCTACATAATAATCACATTCCATAAGAAGAAGAGAAGAAGATAACATGGTTGCACTAGAAATGCTTCTAGAAGCTGTGCAGGCTGTGAGGAAACTAAAACTGCTCTGAAACTGTTTTGCTTAAATGTCCTGTTACTTGAAGTTGGCTCTTGTAACTTAAAAAGCATTCTTCAGGTGTACTTTGTTCATGTTCAGATTTTAATGAGTGGGTAGAGGAATGCCACTCACAAATTACTTCCTGCGTTAAGCACATAGTCTAAATTTAGTGTTGAGTTAAGGGAATGGTTTACGAGGTTTGATAGACTCAACAGTGAAAAGTGGGATGGGTTCTCTCAGTGGTAAATGGTATGATGATTTCCCTAGGCTTGTTATGCATTGGTGCTATGATACACCTCGGAGTAGGGAGAAAAAATACACATCACAAAATTCACTTATCCCTTTCTATTCTCAGGAGCTATCCTTTTGGTAAGTCTGCAGAAGCTGATGATAATATAGCATAGCCCCATGGTAAGCGCCTCTTGAGGAGAAGACAGAGTGACATTAATCATCCCTTACAAGAACTTGTCACACTGCTACCCACAGTCAGTCTGTCTTGGTGAGGCCTTTGATCTGAATTCTGTGTGTCACCTTTTAATAGGTGCCAGAATCCACTAGTTTAAACGCGGTATTTGAAATGGAACTGAACTGCAGCCCAGCTTTACTTACAAGTCTGCAAGAGGTCTCTTTCCAGGAGGCTGATTTTAGCATTACATATCCTTCCTGACTGCCTTACATGAATGGATGCATTAGGCTAGATCTACAAAGGAACAAGCAGAAGCAGGAGTGTGTGACTTGCAAATAGATAGCAGGTACATCATTTGACTGCAGGGTTTACTTCAAGAGCTTTCATGCAAAATAACAATGCTTGACTTGGTATCTTGGGTGATTTTTTTTTTTTTTCTTTTTTTTTTTGCTAAAGTGGAGGATCTTCAGCTGGAGAGATTGAATATGCTTATCTCAAAGTAATTTTGTAGTTAGGACTGTCCTTGGCAGGAAGAAACTCTGAAACTGCTCATACACACAATGGGAATTTGGGTCTGCATCTCAGTGTCCTGGTTGGGGATTTAGTGTAGGGGCCTGGTTTCCCTGCATAATAGTGTGGCAGGTGATACTTGGGTTGATGTAGAAACTGAGCAGTGTGTGCGAGATGTTCTTCATCAGGAGCGTGTCAGACTGGGATCTTCAAAGGAGACAGCAGGGAAAAGGCTGCAGCAATCGTTTTCAGCCTCTTGGTCCTTTCTAATAGGGCTGTAGATGCTTGTCTACAACCATTGACCATTTAATGAACAGAAGCCTATGAAGGTTAGTTATACACTTACTGTTGTTACTTGCTTTTTATTCTTCCTTTAGAGATTGTTTTTAGGCTGTTGGGTCTCAGGCTGAAAACTTCTCATCTGGACAGTGAGAGTCCTGATTGGGATTTAGGGAGTAGGAGAGGAACATTATTGCTCAGTACTGACAAGAATAACAGTTCAGGGTCTGTCTGAAAGTGAACCTATGCACCTGGAGAAATTTTGCAGATTAATTTGGGGTGTCTGGGAGTTTGTGAGGTATTGAGGTCCACTTACTTTGATAAAGGCAAGGAAACTTTTTCAAGTTCTCCTGTGAACCTGGCCCTAGGTGGTTGAGTATAAGGTTGGTAGGTCAATGATAGAGTTAACTATGTGTTAGCCTTGTCTTGTAGAAGTAAGCAATGCTCAAGCTGCCTCACTGACACATTCCTTACTAACTTCATTTTTAACTGCTTAAGGTCTTCAGGGGCCTTGTGGTCATGAGGTGTGTTTTTCTTGGCTTCGGTTGCTAAACTGCATTATCAGAAACGATAAACAAGTTGTTTCCATATAAGCGATTGCTTTTGCAGTAGTGACCATCACATGGGCCATGTCCCATTCAGTTCACGTGAGTGTCAGTGTTGTTCCAAATGTCTTGAAAACCTGAGACTGCAGCCACCCCAGCTGTGTAGAATTGTCTGTTATAGGTACATTGATGCATGTGTTAAAAAAAAAAAAAAAAAGAACAATTTTCTGCCAGAACGGTAAAAATATGCTTCCCATAGTTGCCAACAATGAAAACTTTACTGGGTAAGGTTTATTGAAACCCACAGAAACTCTTCTGTAGCGTGCAAAAAATCTTCAGTGTCAGGAGGAGCTGTCCAGTGCTTCAGTGCTCCTAAGTAAGTGCTCTTGTGGGGGGAAATAATAATAACAAGGGGGGGAGGGTTTGACCAAACTGAAACCCAACCAAAACTGGTGGTTTCTGGGTTAGAACACACAGTGTCTCCCAGGCTGAGCTGTGACCAGTATAGATAAAGGGAGAGATTTACGCAGGGAACGTGTTGATGTGCTGTGCTTAACGCCAGTATGAGTTTTGCTGCATTTTGAAGAATAATGTGTACATATTTTCCGGATTGTGGTTAGTCATTTACATGTAGAAATCATACATATTTGGCAAATGGTCACATAAATGTTTAAGAAGAAAGCCTTCACATTACTTTATGAGACTTGATAAGATTTCCCACTTATTAGTGACTGTGAGTTCTGCTTCACCCTTCAGCATTAACTTCCCCAGTGCAGACAATCAAGAGACATTTTTCTCTATTTTTATTCCCCGCTAATTACAGGAGAGCCATGGATAAAAGTGAGTTGGTACAGAAAGCCAAGCTGGCTGAACAGGCTGAGCGTTACGATGATATGGCTGCTGCTATGAAGGCTGTCACTGAGCAAGGACATGAACTGTCCAATGAAGAAAGGAATCTACTCTCAGTTGCCTACAAGAATGTGGTTGGTGCCCGTCGCTCGTCCTGGCGTGTAATTTCCAGCATTGAACAGAAAACAGAGAGGAATGAGAAGAAACAGCAGATGGGAAGAGAATATCGTGAGAAAATTGAGGCTGAATTGCAGGATATCTGCAATGATGTTCTGGTAATAATCCAACAGCAAAAATAACAGTCGTTAGTACTGCAGCATTCTTCAGAGAGGCTTAAGGAATCTTAGTAGGACCATAGACACTGCTGCACTTTAGCAAGGAAATAATTTTGCATGGCCACATACTTAAGTCTGGTTCTAGGTCATAAGTCATCTAGTTTGTTTCTTAGGGAATTTGTTGGATTATTACTTGTTATAAAATAGTCGGGGGGTTTTTTTATAGGAAAAAAAAGCAAACAAGGCAATGTTGGAGGCCCCTAGCCAGCAGCTATGAAAACAAATTTAGATCTGGGGCACTGGCATGCATCCTGCTAAAAAGCCCAACATTTAAATTCTTTCGTTAATGAATGCTGATGTCCTGAGGCTTGTTTAGTATTTCTTTTTGATGGAGAAGGTGTTCACTTCTTCCCCCAAACCAGTTTTGCTATTTCTTTGACTTAGATGGATTCTTTTTACTGCTGTTCGGTTTGCTAAAGATCTGTCAGGAGCGGTGCTGTCACTGCTGTCAGTCTTTGCATCTCTTTCTGAATGCACATGTGCTGACTGCCACTATTCAGCTTGAGTTGCAGATAGAATCAGTTTGTTGTGGATAATTTCACTGCTCTGCGTAGAATTTAAGTTTGTGGCAGCAAAAGTGACTAGACTTGTGCTAATGTCAAGCTACTGCTTTTCATTAGCTTGGTTGTGGACACAAGTTTGCATCAGTGTATTTCAAGGAAAATCTTTGCAGCCTTAAGTCCTGCTAGCCATTAAGTTCTGCAGAAGTGAATTGTGGATAGCCTCAACACAGCAAGTTTTCGGCTTTCCAGGGATTAGGATACAAGTAGTTTCTTTTTTTTCTGAATTGAGACAACAGTAGGCAAAATGATTAACACGTCATTATACGCAAGTCATTGTTAATGTTGCAACAGTTCATACTTATAATTGTATTGTATTGTTTCAGGCATTATTTTTATGACTTGGGGGATTAAAAAAAGTGGTGTTTCATTTCTCAGGAACTCCTGGATAAATACCTTATTGTCAATGCCACGCAGCCAGAAAGCAAGGTCTTCTATTTGAAAATGAAAGGTGATTACTACAGATACCTCTCAGAGGTGGCATCTGGGGACAACAAGCAAAGTAAGTAGGGATGAAATCTCTCTGCTGGGGGCCGAGCAGAATAAAATATAAAAATTACTTGTGTTCTTTTCCCCTAACATGAAGTATTTATTTCTTTTTGCTACTGCTCTGTAGTATCGAAGACGGGTGCAGTGCAAGTCACTTTTAGAGAAAGACTTCACTGAAATTAATAGAAGTGATTGACAGACGTTCATCAAACCAGTCAAATTCTGCTTGCAGCCCTCGACCTCAGTGACTGATTTTCAGGCATATTTGGCAGTGTAAAATCCTTTTCCTGGAGAATGTGTTTTTTCTCATGGAAAATGCTTTGTTCCTATCATCTCTTGTTTAAACTATGAATTTAGCTCGCAAGTCTTCGCTGTTTGCAAGCTTTCTGCATGCAAATAAGGGATATTGGGTTACTGGGTCCGAAGCCAATTAATCCAGAAATGGTAAAGCAATGCTGAACTGTGCCTGAATTCCTGGTGAGTGTCTTATGTAGTCCATGTGCTGTGAACTTAGTTTGATGCCATTCTTTAAGACTCTTAAAATGTTGAATTTAATTTCCATAGCCCAAAGCTTTATCTGAACAAATATTTCTGCTTTAATAGTTCAGCTAGTGGTAGGCTTTTATGTCTAAAAACATTGAAAGAAGTGTCTGTGCGTATATAATTGTATAAATTTCTGGTGACACCATAGTCTAGACCAAGAATATAATAGCTTCCCCCGTGAAGTGCAGTGATGTACTGTGCATTAATATGATTGTAATTACTTCTTGCAGCAACGGTAGCAAACTCTCAGCAAGCTTACCAGGAGGCATTTGAAATTAGCAAGAAAGAGATGCAGCCAACACACCCCATTCGACTCGGTTTGGCTCTAAATTTCTCTGTCTTCTACTATGAGATACTAAATTCTCCTGAAAAAGCCTGTAATCTGGCAAAGACGGTAAGCAAACTCTTTATATTACCAATTTTTGTGGAGCCTAAGGAGATAATTACATGGTTGCAGTAGCACTTCTAGGTGATTATGCTTTTCCATATCAAATTCCTTAAAAATGCTGTCATCTTTATTGTCATCGTGGTGTATTTTCAAGTAAGTTCACTAGGCTAGCTTAGCTTTAAGAGAAGATAATTTGCTGGTGCAGTTGATCCAGTAAAAGGGGAGACAAAGTGCCTCTTCTTATGTCCATGTAATTCTCTTAGAATGTGCTTCTGTCAAATTTGAAAACACTTGGACTAATTTAGCACTTCTAAAGTGAAATACTTATTTAAATTTGGACACCTAGCAAATAGGTGAAGTATCGTCTTTGGGACTGCAGTCATAGCCCTAAATGTCCTTGTGTATCTGCGCATGTGTGCGCTTCACTCTCTAGAAACCAAAAAGAGCTCGTGTGATGGGTTGTGCCAAACAAATAGCTGGTCATTTTTGTCCTGGCCTTCTCCTTAAAATACAATTGGAGCCTTCTAAATGGAACTTTTTGCATCTGTAAAAGTTACCTGGTAGAAACTTGAATAATATGGCATTAAGGGAATCTTTGCATTCTTAACATGTGCTTTAATAATACTTTGTAACGAGCAATGTTTTGCTATGCAAAGCTGCTGTTCCTGCTTTTTTGGTTTGGCTTACATCTGTCTGAAACCTGAATGAAGAAATAGGACTGATTCATGGCTCTCAGACTTGCAGCTTGGCCTTTCATGTGTAGCAGATCAATAGGAAGAACGGCAAATTTCCTGTGCTGCTTTGAAAAGAACTCCAAAATCTTCCACCCCGTCAAAAACCCCATGTCTTCCATTTTCTTTCCTACTTACTCATGTGCAATACATATATCAATTTAATGGTACCGTTGTCTTTTACTGCCAATCTAGACCAGTGAGGCCTTAATTTTTAATGAAAGCATGGCTTTTAAGTGTTCCTCGTAAACCTTACTTCAAGCGATGTGTGAATCATTCTTCAGTACGACGAGCGTGCTTGCCTTTTCAGTACTTGGGATTGGCATGGTAGTGAAGTTGTTCTGGGCTTTCATCTGGACCCCCATGAAGACTTGTGTTTTCCCACTGGTCATCTAGTGATCTGGTGCTCGCTTTGTTTTACATTTCTTGGTAGAAAAGAAAAATGTTGGAAGCTTTTGTCACAGAATTTGAATAGTAATGTGGCAAGTTTGTAAGCTCTGTGTAAGCAGAAGTGAATTCAGAGGGCAGAGTCTGAAAGTGCTGTCTTGCATGTTTTTAGGCATTTGACGAAGCGATAGCGGAGCTGGACACGCTGAATGAAGAGTCTTACAAAGACAGCACTCTCATCATGCAGCTGCTTAGGGACAACCTCACTGTAAGTATCACGGGGCTGCACTGGGTGCTCTTACTTCTTTGGGCTGCTGGGCTCCACTAAGTGGGACTGAGCATCTGAAGGCTCAGGGAGTTCTGTGCCATTAAAAGCCTTTTCTGAGGCATTAGTCTTAACTGCCCTGCTTTTTGTAACCAGGCCGGTTAGGCTTGCTTGTTTAAACCAGAAATCACTTGGTAACCACTGTAACGAACTCTGCTTTTTTGTGACAGAAAGTCCGATTTGTCTGTTTTCTCAGCAGCCAGCTTGTCTTTGTGTTGAGTTTGCAAACTTCTGCTGGCTTTTTACTTGTAATCCTCTGCCTGTTTTCTAGTTCATTATTCTTTAGCTTTACTGTTAAGTTTGGTTCTGTATTGCTCTTAGCTGAGAATGTTGCCCAACTACTGCTAATTACGCTGTCTTCCCTTTCCTGACAATTGTAATTAACTGCGTGCTTTCAGCATAAACGTGTTTATATTTTCTTACAGCTATGGACGTCGGAAAACCAGGGAGATGAAGGGGATGCTGGGGAGGGAGAGAACTAATGGCTGTCACGCTTCACTATATGTTCAATGTCACCCTGTATCCTACACATATATCCCTTTGTGCGACAAGCAAAAAGAATAGTACATCGACTTTCACAACCTCAACGTAGCAAAAACTGTCTGTGGGGTAAAAACAGTTGGTTGGTGTTCTGTGTACCTAGAGCGGAGGTCGGTTATTATAATGGCATTCCGAACTTTCCTATTATGAACATTTACAGTTATGATTACCGTGTTTATATTTTTAACTGAACACTGTGATTATGGGTTTTGTGATTGCAATTGACTTTACAAAACTCTTATTGGTAGAAAAGTAGACATCAATTATGTAACTCTGGCAAGCTTAATTTGGCACCAAAATAGTCGAAGTACAATTCTGTTGTAAAGTTGTACAGAAAGTTATAGAGATTCTATTGTGACACTGGGGCATGGAAGGAAAACAATCCGATGTATGGCATTCCAGTTAGCAACACTGCTATGAATTAGTTTAACGGGCACACTCTGTAGACGTTTGTAACCAAGTCTGAGGCACCGCTTTCAGTCAAAAGCTCACTTTGTCAATCCTGCCTTTCTGGGGATGGGGTTTATTTTGGGGAGGAGGGTAATGGGGGAGTTAGCAGCTTGATTTCCAAATTCTTTATACTGGCAGATAACTGGGATTTGACTTCTAAAAGTGCTTTCATGCTCATACGGCATGCATGACTAAGCCCCTTCCCACAGCAATAACGTACCTAATTATACCTTAGATATTCTTAAGTAGTGAGAAGTCTTGGTTCACTGCCATGGACTTGCAATAGGAGAAGATTCAATTTTCTGAATGGCCTTATTAGTTTGGATGATACCATGAAGTGATCTGCCACTTTTGCATTACTTTACTCTTAGGTGAGTCGAAATCTCCATGGTATTCCCATTTCAAATTTATCCTGAAAACTTCTGAAGTAATCCACTGAGCCATCTTTAAGTTCACTTTATAGAAATTTTTCTCCCATTGGACTCTGTTCATTCTTGACCCTCTCACCTGTTTAAACTCCATTAAAGCAATTTTGGACTCCCACATATGCGTCATCCTTTCTTTGATTATGGGTGATGTCAGGATGGTGGGTGAGACCTGAGACTGCTCGAGGACAGGATTCTTCCTCGGATATTTGAGAGCTGCCAGTGCTGCTGCAGTCTTCAGCTCTCGTCTGCCATTTTTTTTGTTAGTACCAGGATTTGGCTCAAATATTCAGGATTTCCCATTTATTGTACTGGAATGCAGACCTACACATTTGTAACGCTTGTAACTTGTAATATTTGAGCTCCAAATGTCCTCACCTAGTTCTGTTTCAAACATGTCCCATTAAGTAAAACCTAGTGCGAGTTGCGTGAATAATGCGGTGGAGAAGATTAGGAATAGTCACCTGTCAGTCCCGCGGTATCATCCCCCTGCCTTCACATTCCACTTAGGTATAGGATCCATCTGTTTGTCTGTCCATCTGTCTTGCTGAAGAGAATTTCATGCACTGATTTTAAAACTCCCCTCTACTAGCTGAACAAATTGTGCAGTTAATACTTGGCGCTTGATAAATGCAGTAGTGAATGTGGAACCGAGCCTGTCTGTATATCTGGTAGCTCTTCTCGCTTTGTTTTTACTGACCAGTATTCTGCCTAAAGTTTGCTTCTGTGACGGTTATATTGCCTAGCACACACGTGGTTGTGAGAATAGTATAGCAAAAAGAAATACCTGGTTATTGATGTACTAGATTTGTGTATGTCTTTTAAAACAGTTCTAGTTTCACCTTACACAAAATAATCAGGAAAGTGTAAAAGAATTCAAAAAGTGAATAATAAAAAAAAATTTTATCAGTTGTTTGTGTCTGTTATCTTTGCTGTACTAGTGGCAAAAAACTTATGGTAGTAAAATCACCGCTTCATTTTATTACATGCACAGATCTCGGATTGTATGAGTTGATTCATGGTTTCCAAATGGTGTGAGTACTTCATTACTCATCCCTTCGCAGAGAGACTTGCCCCCGCACACCCTCCCCGATTTGTAGTGGAGAATGCTGGTTCTCTTCATTTTTGTTGAGGTCGTACTTGCAAGGTATTGTCTTTGCAGGACCTAACAGAAATGCAGCTCTAAATACCTGTTTAACTTGCCATGAGTCACTGCATGCTGTATGGTTGAACACACTGTATGTGAGAAGGGGCTGTTGGTTGCATATAAAGCTTTTTCTGTAGGGAATCCTTTAAACACACACTTCCAAAGGCTGGGTTAGCTCTTCAGCTGACCCTCTGCTGCTCGCCTGTGCACGCCCGGCTGCAGCGGCACGCTGTGACCTGCACGCGCTCCAGGTAACTCTGCTCTTCTCAGCCAGGGGCGTGCACAGGCGCTACTGCGAGTGCAAAGGCATGGTCAAGTGCAAGGGGAGGCGTCCTCCTGGAAATGAAGTGCTTGAAGAGCTGGATGGGAATAGCCAGGGCAGTTGATACCAGGAGGTTGGCTGGGGCCAAAGCAAGCATCCTTCCTGCTCTCGGAGCCTTGCTCCTGCCATGAGACCATGCAGAACTGTGGATAATGTCACTTGGCTTCTGTTGATTGACCGCTACAAAGGCATTAGGCCGAAGTCTAACTAGCTGCTGGTCCTGTGCCACGGCTTTCATGGAATGTTTTGGGTTGGAAGGGACCCCTAGAGGTCATCTAGTCCAACCCCCCTGCAGGAGCAGGGACACTGCTAACTAGATCAGATTGCTCACAGCCCCATCCAACCTGACCTTGAATGTTTCCAGGGATGGGGCCTCCACTACCTCTCTGGGCAACCCGTGCCAGTGTTTCACCACCCTCATTGTAAGGAATTTCTTCCTTATATCCAGTCTAAACCTGCCCTCTTTTAGTTTAAAACCATTGCCCCTTGTCCTGACACAGCTGGCCCTACTAAAAAGATTTTCCCCCTCTTTCCTATAGGCCCCCTTTAGGTACTGAAAGGCTGCAATCAGGTCTCCCCGCAGCCTTCTCTTCTCCAGGCTGAACAACCCCAACTCTCTCAGCCTGTCCTCATAGGAGAGGTGCTCCAGCCCTTGGATCATTTAAACGGTGGTCCCTCTGTAATTATTGCTACTTTGTCATTTTCTTCAGCCTTTATAGACATACTTGCTCTTAAATGGTCTTACCAGTGTACACAAGCTCCCAGTTTGACTCATGCTGATGATGTCAGTTCCAAGAAGAAAAATCCCAGGTCCTGCTAGCTGCTCCTGTTCATAGAGCACTTGCCCTGCCTGAGTTCTTTCAGATCACATCGCCCATCCTTACTTTTGGGGGAAATGATGAACCTAGGAGACTGGTCTGCAGCAGTGATGAGTTGAAATATCTTAATTTTTCGAGTAACTATCATTTTGGGAAAGGTCACTCTAGCTGGCCCAGCCGCAGTAATGCGGTGGGTGACTCTACATGTTTTAACTGATCTAATGGTGCTGCTGCGGCCTCTCCGCCCTGGCACTCATGCTCGTCTGACCTCTGGGCAAGGCAGTTCAGTGTGGGAAACCGCCAGGCGGCCTTTGGGAAGGGAAGGTTTCTCCTGACCTGCGCTGCAGCCGACCTTTCTGAGGGAATGGGATAGGGTGGAGCTGAGCAACCACACTTAGCTTCACTTTAACATGTGGGACCTTGGTGTTGTGCAGTGGGCGCTGCCTGGAGCAGGCTGGTGTCTCTCCTGAGCACCGTGGCAGCGGAGGAATCGCCTTTTTTCATTAAATCCAGCAGACGCGTTCAGCTGAAGTCAACGTGAGACACTTGTCCTGCCACACTAGCTTCCCTGCTTAAAAGCTGGTAAATGGGGGGAGCGTGGTCCTGGCTGAAGCACGGAGATGCTGGTGACTCGGGCCCGGTGCGGCCCTGCCCGCTGCCCTGGGCTCCGCTGCTCTTTCATCCAGCATTCCAGCTGCACAGCGAGTTGTTTAATGACAGTTCATCACCTCCCATTACATCCAGCACAGCTGGGGTGTGATCTCCGTGGATGAAGGTGACCTTACAACACTCGTGTGTCACCCAGACAAAAGGGGATGGCAGAGGCCGGGTTCTGCAGCCCGGGGGGGGCTCAGCTGGGCATTGGGGGAGTTTGCTGTGGAGGTTGCGTAGGCGTTTGTGCCGAGCCGTGCGTGCCTTACCGGCTCCTTCCCTGGATTTCTTGACTTCAGGGAATTGCCCACCAGAACTTGCAGGTGATTTCCTAAAACGTGGGCGGGA